TGGCGCCTTGTTGCAGGTACATCGAAGACGAAGCTGGAGCTATGGCGCCACAGGTAAGTCTCCCTGGCCTCCGCCAACTCTCTCTCTCTCCAACGCTACTCTAGGCTCCTCATAGCGCCCAGTGCTGAAGACTACTCCTAGCGCTAGCTACTACTACTGCAGCACTCCTCCAGAGTGCTGCTGCTGAATCCTGAAGGCTGCCTCCGGCCTCCTGCACGTGAAGTGCTCGTGAACTGCCTGGGAAGTCCCTACGAACTACCTGCAGCCTGCAGGGCGGGCCAGTTCTATATAGTGCTGGCCCCTCCGGGAGGCTGCTCTTGCCAATGCCGAAACGTGCCAGACCCTGGCGTTGAAGTTCAAACAAAGGTTGTCTTGAACAGGCCCAAAAATGGCCTGTGCTAAACCCTGGTCTGGCGCCTGAGTTTCAGGGCAGGTCGACTTTATGAGGGCCTGGAAATGGCCCTCGTTTTCAGGCGTTTAGGCTGAAACGACACAGGGCCTGTAGGGCCCTTATTTTCTGTCAGGTCGGGGCCTGCAGGCCCTTGTGGCTGCGCAATATGCCACAGTACCACACCAGGAAGAGGTAGATGTACCGGGTACTCACGGCTGAGCAGAAGAAGACAAAGTTGGCATTTTTAGAGGCCCAGTAGTTGTGGGCTAGGTCTAGGCGGGTAACAGTCCAACCAGTCTAAGTCTAGGGCCTGTACGTGCAATATCAGAGTCTGCAATGATGTTTCCCTTCGAATGGGAGGAGGTACCGGTTGCTTGGAGGCCGTGCAGCCTAGGAAGTCACTTGCCAAGAGGCAAGCAAGCCGCTATATCTGCAGGAGGAGCGAAGTGCTCCTCCTCATTGTCGGTGTGCAAGTTTGGCGGCACACTGGTTGGAGGGCTGGCTGGACGAGCGCCAGCACAGAGCAACGCTGCTGGGGAAGGAGCAAGGACAGGAGGAGGAGGAAGACCAGGACGAGGAAGGGGGAGTGCCAGAGGTACTTACCTGGCTATGGTGGACGTTGCATCTGGAAGGCCCCCCTGGGGTAGAGCTGCACCAAGAAGCTTCGAGGCAGAGTCAGGCATGGCGGTGTGAACAAGAGCAGCCATAGCTGCTTTGTGCTGTCCTTTGCACAGCAGGGCAATGCCCTGGTAGTCCGCCATAGCCTCGGCCTTGGAGGAAGGAAGAAAAAGGGTGGCCATGGCTATGGTGGACCTCATGTGATACCTGCAGTAGAAGAGGGATTCAGACATTGATTCTGGTTCAGCCATTCAACATTGATTCTGGTTCAGCCATTCAGCATTGATTCTGGTTCAGCCATTCAACATTATTATTATTATTTCTTGTTTGAATAAGAGGGGAGGAGATTAGAAGGAGGAGAGTGGTTGCCGAAGAAGAAGGGAATTCTCATTGGTCTTTGCTTGTGTACATCTTCTTCTTCTTCTTCTTCTTTCCCTCTCTCCTCTCAAGTTCATTTATTTCTTTTTGCAATTGGAAGGCATTGTACTTTCTCATGAATGTGTACTTCGAAATTGGCACAAGGCCCTCATTGTTTGGTTCCTTGCACGAGGCCCATTCCAAGACTTCTTCTTCTTTCCGTCTCT